AATGCCAGTTAGATACGAAAAACAAGAACCTGATAAATCCATTATATGGCAATAAAAAGGAGGAGGGGAGGAAGAAAATAATTAATTACCTCATTATTCTATCACCTATCGCTGTTCCTCTGATATTATATCTAGTAAAGGGAACAACAACTACAGTCATTCAAAAATGCTGGGTATTGCGTTTTTAAAATGTTAGCATCTATTACAAAATGTGCTCTACGTATTCCAACTGAGAAGACTCCTTCTCCTCGCTGTGTTAGTACATGAGACTACTTTGATTTCAGCAAAAATAGTATTCAGATTACATAACAGTACACAAAGTTGATCTTATAAAACGTGGTAATTCTTCATAGATCATAGCACAACTTGAAGCAGCTGCATAATCATTTCCATTTTACATTCATTTTTGTTTGAAATTTTAACCTACTAGTTTAATGTTTTCCAGGTTTAGCCTCTGCTCACAGATCAGCTTCTGTCGAAATCCAAACAAAATTACTTCAGTCATTTAAGTAGGAAAGCAGCCCTCAGAGACTAGTTTTGACTAATTTGTGAAAATTAAGATAAATCTATTAAAACCTGCACACTCTGTGCATGAAGAACGTACATTTTGCATAGATTCCACCCCCCCACCCCCAGATTACAAAGTACAGTGCTAAGGTGGGCCATATTATCTATCTGTGTTCCAACTACATTTGCTGGACTTAGTAAGTTTTAAAGAATATATGCTATGTACATACTTTGAGACTTAAAAATCTGTATATCTCCTCATATTTGTAAGAGGAGGGATCTTTTCCTGTGGATTCGCTAAAATACCCAGAAGGTTATTTTCTCTGTTGAGTATCTAGCTAAACTGCTCTGCTGTACAAAACAGGTTTTAGTTTTTAAATTTAGAAATATTCTGTCCAGTTCCTTATACATTTTGTTAAAAAGAGCATGTATTAACTAGCCCAAGGATAACAGAAAAAATGAAATAAGTATTTAGCTTCTTTTAGTCACTGATCTTCACCATTCCTATAGCAATGCTCGGTGACTAAAGAAAAAAAGTCAGATGTCACATTCTCAATTATTTCTGTCAAAGAAGCGTCCTTCTGTGTCAAAACTATCCCTAGCTGACCTAACCAACTTATCAACCAAAGGACTGTGGTATTTCTACACGTTTTCCTGCTCCTACTTTAAGCCCTTTTCAAAATAATAAAGTGGGTGCAAACTTTAGGATTCTGTATCTGTTGCGCAGTCTTTCCTGACAGTTCGATTTCAGGTTAGTTGGCGAGAAACTATCTATCCTCATTGCGTTTTCAGATTTATGAGCATCCACAAAAAGAGATCATGTCTCTTGTATCTATTCTTAGATTATGTAAGACAGAAAAAGACCCAATCCTCAGCTTGAAAACATTAAAAGTTGGATTAGTACCCCAAAAAATTTTCAAATAATGGAAGCTCTGTAAACATTAGATTTGCAAAATGGACAGCATTCTATTCATATATCTGAAATCTACATCCATCTTATTAAAACTACAGTGAGACCAGCGGGGTTGATACAGCAGGAAGTTCTCCATTTATTTAACTGCAGGTACTGCCAACAGAGCTATTGAAAGGGTATTTCTGCCACTTTTTTTCCTTAAGAGGAAGTTTAAGATCATGATTACAGAATCAGAAGTCTACCTTTCCCTTCTCAGTGGAGAAAGTTGTATTTTACAGTGGGAAAATGACTCTGAGACAGTTTCCTTTATCTTCATTTCCCCAACTGTTGAGTTTCTCCTCAATATAAACAATAGGTAGTTATTAGGTATATAAAAAACACAACCTAAAGAAACCTAAATTTGGTTGTAGATAAAACTAGTAATGCTATATACTGGAAAAGGCTTATTAGTCAAACAGCTTTTAGCATTCTGTTTCAGAAGGCTACAGCCTCTTTTTTAATTTTTGTCCTAGAGAAAAATTGGAATTAAACATTTTTTCTGCCACTGCATAAAATAGGTTCACAGAAGGTAGGTTACTGTAGGCTAGACTTATAAACTTCTCCAGAAAGGAAAAACAAAACAAAACCAAAAAAGGCCCAAAGCAACTCCCCCCCCCGCCCCGATATTCCAGAGAGAAAAAAATCTACTTTATTACTTCTATATTAATGCCATTAATTATCTTATAGGATGACACATTGGAAACTAAATTATTAGATAAACTTGAGAAAATGAGATTTAGTAAAGGAATAGTTAGGTAACACAATTTACTAAGCGAGAAAAGAGAAACATCAGCCTACAGGAACATATTGGTGGAGTTAAGCACCAGTCTTGCTGGCAATTTTGTTCAATACATTGCTAACAGTCTTTGAGCAGAATGTAGGAATGTACTCATGCAGTGCATTGAGAACATAAGGCTAGGTAACTTTATATATAAAGGGGACTGTAGGACCGCGTGAAAAAAAGAGGTGGGTAGAAATTCAGTAGTATAAAATTGAGAGTCATACACTTCTGAGCTTCCTTCTGGTGAAAGACAAGAACACGTTAATTAGAAATGACAAAATAGGAAAGACTTCAGTATACTAACTGATCTTGTGTCTGACCACAAGCTACCACTGTGAGCCATAAGCAAGAAAGGAGAAGGATCACTACAGCTCACTTGTGTCTCAGAGAGTCTTCCCTAGACCCAGATGAATACTCATACCATTAATCCTAGCAAAATCTAAACAGTGCAGTATGCATAATTATGGTCTACCATATTTGGGAAAGAAGTGGAACACGGGGGAGCACAGACAGGAACCAGCATGATGGCAGGAAACCCACCAATTTTTACTGCTAAGGAGGAAAAATTTGGCACTTTTAGTCTAGTGAGACAAAAGCTGAAAATGGACAGGATGAACATCATTCAAATGATAAGCATTGGGCATGAAAAAATTATTTCAATCAAAACAGTATGTTAGCACAAAACGACTAATTTCAGTCAATTTATACCCATTACAGCAGCAATGTTTTGAGGTAGCTTCCCACTAGTTAAAGGGGCCCGGGAGATTTTATATAAGTTTGATCAGTTTATGAAAGGGATTACATGCTATAACAACTGTCATAGTAGTAGTAGAGAGGACTTCCAGTTCCTTTCACTCTTATTTCATATGAGACATAAATATGAAGAGGGCTTACAGCTATCCTTTAAGACCACCAGTGCCTGCTTTCTCTCTGGAAAGCCAAATTTCTTTGAGCAAACAAAGGATGTCTTACTTTTCCTCAGTATCTCAGAGGACATTTAGAAACTCCTGAAACCAGAAGAATAGGAGGGAACGTAATAGAAACGTATATCTGACTGCTCAGAAGTTAAGCTAGAAAACTTAACTGCTTGCACACACATAAAAGAAGAACAAAATGAATTGGTCAGGCATTAAACCTGAGTAATGAATGAAAGCCTGGAGGCAATCTGAAACCAGTATTGACTGCATAGCAACTTCTGTCACATTTTTTTGGGAGGAAGAACAAGGGAGCAGGGGGCTGCATAAAGAATTTTAATTATATCATTAATTTAGTTGAATGATCTTTTCTATACAATAAATTTAAACTGCAACAGGAAGAAATCTCGCTGCACACAAAGAATGAAAAAAACCATGACAGATGAAGCATAACTTCATTTAAGATGTCCCTGATAGTGGGAAATTGTAACAGCTATATGATACCTAGAAGTGTCATACTTATTACATTACTCCAAAAGGTGCATGAAGAGAAGCTAAGAATCCTGGCTCAAAACCAGAAATGGGATTAAAATTGCAGGGCTTTGCACAGCTTGCTCTTCAATCACTAGATCATCATGAACATTGGCTTTGCAGTGGAAACTATTTCTGCCATTAGATATTTATCTACAATTACTTAGTATTGCATGGAAAGTTAATGGATTAAGATGGAAACTATATTGGATTTTTCATAAAAACTGTCATTTAGTGAGCAGAATTACTCGTGCTATGTAATAAGTAACCACTGACTGTTCTCCTTGTCACTACTGACAAGGTGGTGGCTTATGACTTTTTTTTTTTTTAACTGCAAGTTATTCAAAACCTTTTCTATACACAACTATTAAATTCTTTCTGAATTCCTAACGAATACATATAGCAATGCTGTAAAGAATTTGCACTGCTAGCATAAGAAATTAACAGCAAGGCAATGCTGCCTTTGAACAGCATAGGAGTAAAGCCAAGGCATCTGACACAAGGTTACATAACATCTAAAACAAGTAAGCAAGGTGTTTTCTTAAGTCTAACAATAGAGAGGTTGCTTAAATAATTATTACAGCTTTTTAAAAGACCAAGAATTGAAATTAGTGAACACAGGTATTAAACCAGCAATACCAAATTAGGGGCTAAGTTTACTGAATGATCAAACAAGTATAAACAGCTGTTTATATTATACTAGAAAAAAAAAATACACAAAACTCACTAAATGCATCTTTTATTAATAACGACAACTACTAACCTATCTTTTTTCTTTTACTGCCACACATACTGATATTCAGTAACCAACAAAAGGAAAAGGATTACAGTTTCTCCTTCAGAGAAAAAGTAAGAATGAAAAAAATAAACACATCAGTCTTGATGTATGTACTACAGTCACACACAACATTACTAAACAACAACAGGTAAAAGCTCTTGCTTTGCCAAAGAAAGAACACCTAAAGTACAGTTGAAAGAAAATGTAGTTCCCTGTACACAAATTTATGAACTTTATATACTTACGACTACAGGGAGAATAATAAAAAATGAACTGCAGATATTTAGCACTGGGGTATTCAGCAGGCAAGAAATAAGCACAAGCAGGTATTAGATCTGTAGGAGCTTGCCTGGCTAGGAGGGAAAATATAGCTATACATATCTTATGTATAGGCAGATTAGACTCAGCCATCAAGCTCTTGGCTAGCTGTCAAAGAACAACTTATTTTACTTAAGGATATGAGGCATGGGTTTCTAGATCTTCCATTCAAAAAAACGCATTTTGCCAAGCAATAGCAGCAATAAGTACTCCCCTAACCTGTGTCCTGGTCCTCCTCGATACCTTGCCCCTGGGATTAGAACAGGATCATCATCACTATCATCAGTTTCTTGAAGAGCTGAGGTCCTGGTAGAGGACTCGTCTGGAGTTGCAAGCCCTGAGGATTCTGGGTGTGGCTGAGGTTCATCGTTTGCAGCAAGCGAGTTGGCAGTGGATTCAGTACTTTGACTTGAAATTTCTTGATTCGCACTTGTTTCACAGGAGGCTTCCTCCTCTACATTTCCAGAGACAGCAACAGCACTTGGGCCATTTTCTTCTGGTTGGATTCCAGAAGGCTGAGGACCAAGTTTATCTGACACAGCTAACAGAAAATATTGAGGAAAATAAGTCACAGTCTTAATGATTATAGTCTATTTTAGAAGACATTATAAACAGTCAGAGAAGTTAAATTATGCACACAGAGTTTATATGGGAAATTTAGTTTATCATTCTCTACTACTTCATATAACTATATCTGAAAGAATACAGGTACATACTTGCTTCTGGCATCTCTACAGTTTCATCTGCAGTTTTCTGTTCTTCAGCACTTGCATCTTCCTTGTGAGATTCATCAGGAACTCCTGAATTAAACAACTTAATATTAAATCACATTATTTCATTTAAATGCATATCTACAATGTAAGCAAATCTAAATGATACTAGCAGTCCTAGATCAAACCAATCAAAGCAATCCCCTCCAAAGTCCACGTCACTTTTATGTTATTAGTACCTTGAGATTTCAGTAAAGTCAGTATATATAAACCTATCTAGTTGCCCAGGTCAATACACTAACAAAGAAAAAAGTATTTCTTTCTTGTTCCTTAAAATACTTACTATCCTATGCTATGAGAAATTTAGCTGCAAAAATAGAATATTCTCGAAACAGATCATCACTTACTGAAAGCTATTATATCTGAAGACAGAAATTAAGTTATCCATCTACTAAAAGGGTGGGGTTTTAAAAAAAAAAAAATTCTCTGGAAGCAGTCATGTTACTTGACTGCCCTTTTGGCAATGAATTGAGCAAGACAACACACGTAACAAAATACAGTGAAAGCTTGAAAGAAATGTAACAAAATACCTAGCACTCATTTATGACTACAAAGTGTAGTTGTTCTATTTTTCAATACAAATTGTGGCAGAATATGTCCTTAAGAAAAAAGAATAAAGGTTTTAGAACTAAAGACAGGATAAGTTAATTTTGTTTACATTTATTTGCAACTATCTCAAGTTGGTATCTTTTTCTTTCCTAAAAAAATCATGTTCTACTATGGCTGTATTCTGCCTTCATATGCATGTGTATAAGACTCCCATTGTGTACAATAGTAGTCATGAACATACAGAGCAGAATATTTACTTTAACATCACAAAAATAACACTATATCTTACTTGTTTCTTCATCTTCAGGTCCTGACTCTTCTGAGGCTTTTGTTTTTATAGAGTCTTCTTGGCCTTCAGTTTTGCAGTGACTTCCACTCCCTCTAGAGCTTGAATTTGTGCTGCTCCTGGCAACATAACATGTTAAAGAAATAATTTAGAAATAATGTAAATAGATAAGATCATTGCAATAGCACTGCCTGACCATCATCATCTTTCTCACTGCAATCTCACAAATCAATAGCTCCTGATAGCAGCTACAACTAACAACCTTCACAGCAATTTCAAAATTCTCTTATTACGTCCATCACCACTGATCCTACACTATTCCTCCGCATCACCCTGTTCTCTCCTTCCTATCTTTTTCATTGAACCTTTAAAGGATTTCTTCATTGCTTTTCAAAATACTGTGAGAACTCAAAAGGATTTGGTCTCTCTCACTATTTATACATTTTTGCATGTATAAATGATCAGAGATCTTATTAAAGGTATTACAAGCTGTCACCTGAGCACATAATCTCATCCCATCCAATTAAAAAACTGATTCAGATAAAATTCTCCAGGTTCTTCACCCTTAACTATCATTCCTGTGCCTTCTGATGGATTTCTGATGTCAGCTTTCAGTCCTCAAAGTTTTGTTATTTCTCAAGATTTACTATAAGCTGGTACTTGAGATTTACTCCCCATTTCACATTTACGTAATTATCATGGAACACCAACTTCTGTTTAAAATAAGGGAAATTATTCCTCAGGAAACACATAATGCTGCTGTTCTGAATGTCATCAAAACTTCTGTTTTTAGACTCTCTAGAAAAGACCTTATTTTAGGAAATGCAAAGCCTTGTTCCTCTCATTCTCTCCTGTCCCATATCTGTGTTGTGGCCTCAAACTTACACAAATCACTGGACAAAAGCAGAAATAAAGATGAGTTATGAGAATTATAAACATGATTCTCAAGAATTTAGACTGTATTGTTACACGTATCTCTTACCTGTGTATGTTATTATTAAACTATTTTATATGCTACATTAATAGAAGCAGCACAAATCATGCTTAGTCTAGATTCTTGAAAACCTAGTCTAGACTTCAGTACTTTTTTTTTTTTTGCATTAAATATGAGAGCAATAGTTTGTTTCATTGCTGTACTGGATTTGGAGTATGTAGAAAATTTGTTAGCTCTTACAGTATTTCTTCTAAATCAAGAATTTTCAGCATTGTTTCTGAATAGACAGACAAAGGTACTGCTAGACAGCAAGTTGAGGATCTTTGCTATTTCATGCCTCATATGATACAATCACTTTTATGAATGCAACCACAGTCTAAGCACTAAGATTTTTTTTTTTTTTTTTTTTTTTTACTCTTAGGAATCTACTTTCCAGCTCAACGTTCAATGCTAATTTATATTCATGTATGACTACTTTAATTTTTACTTCAATGTTGTTTTTCACGCCAGCAGTTACATGAAGAGGATGTTTTTCAGAGAGCAATATAACACCCTGTGCTTTTACATTAACCCCTGTCTGCTTTCATAGCAGGTTTTCTGTTTTCCCAGTTTTCTGCACAAGCCTTCTTTGAACCTCTGCCAATTTGAATCCGTTTTCTTGAAAGCATGACAAAGATTGCACACAGCATTCTAAGTCACAAAGCAGAGTTGAGCAGCAGCACCAGTAATTCTCATCTTTGGGTGAAGTCTCCCAGCTGGTGACATCTAAGATCATGCTTGCCTCTCTAGTAGCTGCATTATATTGAGAATGAAGTGACTGGTAGGTGCATGTCTTCCTCCATTCCATTTTCACAACACTCTCAATTTTCAGATTAGGTTTTTGTTATTTGCCCTCAACTGCCTAATTTTGTTATCTGGAATTGCATCCTACTTCTATCATTCCATTCTTTGGCAAAATGTTTTTAGTTAGCCTCCGAACTGACAAAGCCTTGCAACTTGGTCCTTCTAGAAAATGCTTTTTCCTCTCACTACCCACACTACACTATCCACTACAAAAGCTCCATTAAGTTAGCTTACCACCACATTCAGTTTCTTTGTCGATCTATCTGTCCCACCTTGAACATGTGGCAAAGTATCAAATACCTTCTGGAAATCCAGACAGTTTCTATGACACCATGTATGTTTCTAGAACTCATTTTCCTGTCAAAAAAGGTATTGAATCATGCATGTTCTAGCTCCCATCATTTTGGATTATTTCCCATGTACTCCTTGTTTTAATATACCTTTCTATCAAAACTGTCCTAAAGTCTTGAATATTGCTACCATTAGTCTTAAAAGATCATGTTTAGTCCTTCATTCTCCTTTGGAATTAAATTTGATGTTCGTCATTCACATGGTGCTAGCCTTGGCCCAACAGATTTATTAAAATAATTTATTAGACCAAATATATATGCTTCCCCCCGCTTCCCCCTCCCCCTCATTCTAAGATGGAGATTATTCCTGCTTCCTCCAATTTTCCTGAATTAATTTCTGTCTTAGTTAAGTTGCATTCAGCTCCTGTGACCTTTTCATCCACACCTTCAACTTTACTGGAAACTAATGCAAAGTGTTTATTCAGCTTTTGTCTCCTCTCAGTATTCCTTAACTGCCATTCCATCCTCACTGCAATACAATTAAATCACCAAAGAACTTTATCCCACTCATTTACCCTTTGAAAGTTTAAGTGAAGTTTTAGTAGTCTTTATTTCCCTAATTACAGATTTTTATAACAAGTAATTTTCCTGTCCCTCATCTCCATTCCCTGTACACTCTACTTTTTCTTAATATTGTTTTTGAGGTTGTTCACTGTGCTGTTCATTCAATTTCTCCATCTTCAGAATCACTTATATCATTAACTGTTTGATGTGTAAAATGAATTTTTCAAATTTTGTATTAAAATAAACACAGAAACAAGATGTTAATGTTAATAAAATCTGTTTTCTGTGATGAGTGCTGATAATATTACATTAAAAACCACTAGAATAAATGGACAAAACATTTGCTAATGCTCTGTTCCTCTTGTGAAATTTGCCTATCCTAAAATATTAAACAAAGATGACTACAAAACTGAATGCAGAATTAGCTATGAGCATTACAGCAAAACTAATTCTTTCAAAGCTTGCTGGATTTGGACTCTAAATGGAAATACAGTCTGATAGATTGGTTGAACATAACTGCCACAATATTTCAGATTCACACGGGTAAAGTCTTCATTCTTGTAAAAACACACAGATTACTGCTAAAGTTTCCAAACTGCTCTGAGCAAAATCCATGTTTTATGTTTAAAGCCCCAGCACTTAAGAGTAGCTAAATGTGGTGGGGTTTTTTCCCCAGTAACAAATGCCAGCAACCATTTCTACTTACTGTCTTCTACAATAATTTTGAAAACATAAGCAAAGGAATGAAGTAAAAGGAGATAAAATAAGGATTGTGGCTGTTTTGGGAGATCCTGAGATGCTCTAGTGATAGACCTCGACACAAAACTAAGTAAGCGAGGCCAGTTAGACAGTATGCATTTATTATCTGACAAGGATGCCATCACTGTAATATCTAAACAGTCCACAAAGATAGTATCTTAACCACATGGATTCATCAACACTGTTAGCATAACATCAACTATGTTAGCATTAAAAAGATTCACAGTAACTATCACAAAAAACCCTCTTGCATAAATTTCATGTTAAAGTATGACTGTCTTTTACATTCTGAAAGTGTTTCGGACTTACAATTTACTTGTATCTATGCTAGACCAATGTTAGTGATATGTGCCAACCAATAACCAATAAAAATTAACGTCTTACCACTCGTCAGTGAAGTCCAGTTTTATCGTGCTTGTAGTCGTTCCTTCTGTACTGTAGTGCAAACTCAAAACTGGTTCACTTGTTCCTGTTCGTGGCTTATCACTCTCTGTAAATACGGGGTTGATAAAGTTTGGATGAGCATCAGTAACACACACAAAGCTGTTATATTTCTGAAGATTCATTTAATTATCCCAACAAAGGCCAAATGTGGTAGTAACATGTACAATATCTATTTAAGATCTCTTACAACCCAAGCAAAAAGTTAAAAAGTTTCAGAGTAAACACAACAAATTTGCAATGCTTTAAAAATGGCCTAAAATTATTTGTATTTATAAAAGCAAACAAAGAAGATGCTGTCCTTCAACATGCAGGTAAATGAAATTGCAGATAGGTATCTGTACATACAATATTATCCTTTATAAGCAGATCCCTCTTCTATCAAGTATATTAATAATAAGAATATAAAATGTTTTTTGGAAGTGGTGTTCAGTCTTTTTTGCCTCAGTAAATACACATGAAAAAAAGATGATGAGATCTAGACACAAACAGTGGTCTAGAAAAATCACCATTCCCTTTACACTTTTTTTCTACTTAGAACAGTCAATTACCAATGTCCTTAGACCTGCTGTAAATTGTCAGCTAGTTGTCATAAAAAGACTGTAAATTCATGTTCTGAGAGCTTCAGGATTAAAACCCCTTTCATATTACAATAACTGTAAGTAGAAGGGGAGTACTTGCAAAATGAACTATTCACCATGTCCAACAGCAACAAGAAGTGAATCAAACTGAAAACCACTGCAAGTCCACCAAACATCTGCTGCATATATAGTTTTAAGGATGTTCAGTGGACTCCTTCAAAACAGAACTGCTCAATGACATCCATCCATCCACCCACCACCCTTGAGTAAAATTCATCATCGCAATCTATCTACATGCACGGCCACAGCACAATTGCCATTAATACTGAAGTTGGCCTTGGGCAATACTAAAATGTTAATGGGAAGCACCATCACATTAAGCCTCACTACAGGGATGCCACTCTCTTAGAAGTTGGATCAAAGAGTTTACTTAGTATTAGGCACCACTCAAATGACCAGTAAGTAGCCCATGTAGTTTTGCTTTTCATGAATGCTGAGCTTTTTATCTCAGGACTGTTTGGATAAAACCATGCCTTATTTGCTTTGGTTTACAGAGTACAGAAATTTGGCCATAAGTATACTTACAGTATTGGCAGCAGATTGACACTTATAATAAAGTAAAAGCTTCAGATCATCTTTGGGTTTACATCAATTAAAATCTAACATTCAATTCAAGCACCAACCTATGAATTCCCCCACTTAAAAGGCTATTATTGAAACACTATTGGCTACAATACTGCCACGGGATATTTATTTTAAAAAATACAATTAAGTTATAGGAACTGTGAAACAGCACATAAGAATTTAACCTAAAGATCAGTGTTCATTTGTATTTTTAAACTGCTGACAGTCAGAAGCCCACTCACAGGATCAGAGCAGTGATCAGCTTCTCCGAAGAACTTTAAATATGCATTTCTGCATATTCTGAAGAGAAATAACAAAACAAAAACACACCACAAAAAAACCAAAACCAGAAACTAATAATTTAAAATATTTTTGTGTGAAAGAGAATTAACCAATTACAACCATGATCCTAATCATACATAAGGCATAGGCCTCATTCTATGCAAAGAAAAGGTCATGGCCTCTCTAAAATAAAGTTTCCAGTTACACTCTTATTAGAGTGGAGCAAGGATAAAACTGATCAAAACTAAGGTTTCCAGTTCCTGAAATAAACTGAGTAAGAAAAGAAACAAATGTAAGAAAATACTTTATAGTGGTGTATTATAGATATTTTGAACAAGAATGACATGTTCTTTCTTAACGAAACAGGTGCTTTCTTTAATTTTTGGCAACCTATCAGCAAGCATCTCTTCGTATAAAAGTCAGTTCGAACTTTGAGCATCCCTTCCTAAGCAAGTAGAAATACTGATCGGTCCAACATACTGCACAAGTCATTAGGAGCTGGACACCGGAATAGTAAAAACCGACATAGTAGGAGAATTCTCTACCTTCCTTGTAACAGGTACAGGCAAGACATATCTTTGAATCAGGAACCCAGACAGGTAAAGACAGACAACTTACTGCCTTAAATAGTCCAAGACAACCACCAAACAATGACTATACTGTAACTTGATACTGCTATGCAACATCTGCTTCAGCACAAAACTTGTTAATATTACTGACTAAAGTAACAAAAACCCTGCTATCCTATAATGAACCTAATTGAATGTTAGGCTTGTGTTATAAAGTTCAGATTGTATTACCATAACAGTGCTTTCCTATCCTAAAATCTCAACAGCAAAAAATTAAACCAAGATGCTTAAAGACTGTCCTCAGACTACACTTACTGTGGAAGCAATGTTAACATTTTTTTCACACTCCAAAAGTTGGAAGGATTGCTGTAGACTTATCCAAAGAGGGCACTGACTGAGAAATTGTTTTTACAAATTTCTGGAGGCAGATAACTGTTAAACCATATTGTGTAAAAACTTTTTCTTAAATCTACAATAACATGAGCTATGATTTGGATGGGTCAGTTTCTTCTTTCATCTAGCTTTGGGACATGCAATCGATGCTACTAAGAACAAGCAACTTTTTAAAAGACAGATGAGACAAGAACCTGATAATAAACTGCACAGAATTAGTTGTATAGTTCACCAGTTTATATTAAACTTAGACTGCTAATGAAAGCTGAGTGGGAGCCTCTGTGAGGAAAGCTAATAAGCTTTGCCCAGTACATAATTGAACATTCTTTTAGAGAAGCCACATGAAATCCAGAAGTTGTGAACTCTTTGTTTTCAGGAAAAGCAATGCAATTGCCAAAGACTGACTAGATCAGAATGAAACACTGTTCTCTTTTACTACTAGGTTCATCGTATCAGGCCAGATATACTTCACATTGATTAAAAAAAAAGAAAGGGAAGAAGAGGAAAAGTTGTACAGCTTCTGTGATTTAGGGGAGAGCTATTGCCAAAATTATTAATCTGACTGCAAGGTCTAGTGGTGCAATAATTGCTCCAAGAGAAAGTTATAGTTTGTCAACACCTTACTAAACTCTATTCTGAATTCCTCAAAAATACCTTGAAACTTTACTTAGATTTTACAGCTAAACATGTTATACTTTAAAGATACTATCAACAACTTACAGTCTTATTTCATAAGCAACTCTGTCCTAGAACAGACATTCCTGTGAAATGGTCCATTCTCCAGGTGCCTACAAGGAGGAAGGTACTTTTAAACTACCAGCCTTAAAACTGAAGACTAAATTTCATTCATAACCCTATTTTTTTAAAAAAAACCCAAGCCCTACAACTGAAAACAATACCCCTCATACACACTTTCTCCCTTAGAAAATCAACCTGTGCAAGCGTAACTTGACAAAGATTTGGGCTCTTAAGCAGTAAATGCATAAAGGCAGGTTTACAGATTGCGTTACCTAGTTAAACTAACATTGTAAGGAACTGAAAGCTAGTTTCCCGCATCTCAAATGCAACCCTGTTCTCTAGCCTATTGCAACCCCATGAGAAGAGGATAGATGACTCTTCATGAAAACTTCCAAAAGAATTCCTATCTAGCACTAATCATGATCTCCTCATAAGAAAATCAGCTTTGTACATTCTGAAGATAGGGTTATATTCTGGGCAAAAACCAGAGAAGAACTACTGAATTTAAAAAAAAAAAGGAATTCCATGGGAAGGCTCAACACACAGAAATTCATCGGAAGCAGCTGAACTCAGGGAGAAGGGTGGAGATTCCTTTATCTAGTGAGGAATTCTGCCTGACTCAACAATGTTACACTGATATCAGTCAGTATAAAGCACAATGAAGTCTAAGGGAAGACTGAAAATCAAATGTTCTGTGGACAATCTATAGCCCAAGGTATACAATTTCTTTGTCCAGATGATTTCTGTACTAATTAGGTATAGGCACTTTACAGAAGGAGGTACAGACGACACTGCGCCTTACAACGAAGCACAGGTCTGAAATTCTTAAGGTTGTACCTGCAGAGCTCACTGTAGATCTTGAAAGCTCTATATGCATACCAATGCTCAACCAGTTCCTCTGATTGGGAGGCAGAGCTAATTAGCTGGGACACAATGCATGTCAATACAGTTTCCAGGACTTAGAGTACTGTTTATAAGGAACTAACCCTACCATAGCTGACAGGGATTACCCTTGCACTAACTTGCAAATATCTCGAAATATCAGTAACTAGTATGGCTTCTGTGTATGTAGGAAGCAGCATTAAGATGGTATGGGATGCACACGCACATTTACACTTCAGTTACCGAGGCAGTTCTCTGGCTTTAGGTTCCCTCTTTAACCATACCAATTCAGGCAGTACCTTACCCCCTAACATTGCCTTTACACTGCAACAAATCTAACAGCCACCCTCTGTTATTACAATCACAGTCAAAAAAACAAACAAACCCAGTGTAGATCACTGTAATCCATTTGAAACCATTTCATACAGACAGGAATGACCTATAGCTTCTGCTGGACTGTCAGAATAATGACATTATAAATGTATATGCTTGTATTAAGTATAATAAGATCTTTAAACCCAGAAGCAGTCTTAAAACATAAATGCCAACAAGAGAGACTGGCCCAACAGAAACACAGCTGATTCAGTACCAAATTAAGAAAAGATAGGAATAAGAAAGAAAAGCATATCTATATAAAAGGAACTGATATGACTTCCTTCATTAGCTGCTTATACTTTTTGGAGGTTTCTGTTCAAATATGAAGTGAAACTAATGCAGTTTAACTTCAAAAATCCAACTGGACCTCAGCAAATTAGTCTTTCTGGTTATCATTTGGACAACAGATTTCCTAATAAATTACCTCCTTTCCAAATTCTTAGTTTTCCAAACCAGAACTAATATTCTGTGTCTCTTCAGGTGAACCTTACCATCACAATAGAAAACCATTGCCTTAAAACAATCAGAGAAGTGGTTTACCAATAAAGTCTGGACAAACAAATGTATTTTGGGGTTTTTTTTTTTGCATATTAAAAAAATTGAAGTGCTTTTATGAGAGGAAACCTCTTCACATTAGTTCAAGTAATTTCTTAACACAGGAAAAAATATTAGAAAAAACCTCCCAAGAGTCTGACAACTACAGGTCTATTACAACTATGCAATTAACAACAGTAATACACAAACTAGTTTTTAAGGCAACTGATCTGCTTGAAGAGGAACCTGATGCAGATTTGGGAGCTGATTTCTGGGACCAAAACTTCTGGTTTTATCTTTGTTGTCAGAAGGGCTCAATTTACAACTTCACCAAAAAATTTATCAGCTTTCCAAAATTTTTGCAGTTGTAAGAACTTCAGTAAACATACAGACTTTCTATGCTAATTCTAGTTTATTCTTCTCTCATCAAATAGTGCTTTATTCTGAGTTCATAACAGAGATCATAACTTGGTCACTAATTATAAGCAAGTTTTCCAGCTAAACCTGACTATTGGAGTGATGTAGATTACTAAACCATGAATAATTAGCAAATTTACACATTGAGGTTTAAGGCTATTTCATCACAAAATGTAATTCCACAAAATTAATTAATTTTGTCAATATAAAACATAGCTTGATTTTTTTCCCCAATGTTCTGGCATCCTAAAATAAACCATAATCTCAACAGTTGCCAAACAGACTATTTTTCAGAAATGGGATTTCAAAACTGCATTCTAGTCTAGAACATGAAACAAGATGAAACAGCCAGCTCTTTTGCGGCATTTGAGTTATTAAATCTCTGCAGAGGCTTTGATATGGAAGTAAGCATAATGCAGAGTGTATGGAAATCTATTTTTAAATTACCATCTATCACTCATTAATTATTCAGGCATAAACATTCACTACAGATGACATTGGTTCAGCTGGAGTAGGGTCACCTATGGCTCACTTCACTGCTCAAAATTTGAAGACTGATAAATAACAGGCACAGAGAAAGCTCATGAGCCACCAGCCCCCAGGCCATATACAGAGAAACACTAGTAGTTGTTTAGCAGAAGGGGTGTAGGACAAGGGGTTACAGAGGTAAGATGCACCTAAGTGCAATAGATGCTCTTAAGTTACTCAAACTGTGCAAGTATAACAAGCTGCACATCTCTCCCACATAAGATAAATTAATTTGGCACTATATGATTAAAAGTTACTTCAATCTTGATATTTGCACTTTGATCCAAGAACCATTCAGAAAAAGACTGTTTAAAGAATTAATTTTACTTTGCATTTAAAAAAAATATTCTATACGTCTGTAGAGTACATAAGACATTTACTGTACCTACATTGAACACATTAAGAATTGAGCATAGGATGGCTTTTGAAAACAATTAACCTTACTCTGTTCCTTGTACTGAGAATTAAGTAATTAACGAGTTTCCAGCAGATGTGTTTACAGAATTCTACTTTATGTAGATGAACAGCACTTTTAGACTGTTTATCATCATGAAAGGCAATTTTAAAAGGAAGCATTGCAATCAACTATGGCTGGGTATAGCGCATTTCCTGTCACACGCACCCTGTTGCTCATCAAGTGACATGGATCCAAGCTGTTTGTTAACCACAGAAGAAGGAGAATCTGAAACAAAAACGAGATTTCAACTTAAAACATAAGCAGCAGAGAACTGCACAGCAATGTCACGATCATATGTTAGTTTAAAATAAAAAGCAGCAACATAAGGAAGCTTTGGGTTTGTTTTATGAGCAGCCAGCCGTAGTGCATTTTCTATGCATGCCAGAAGCAAAGCCACTTGTTTCAAATCATTATGTATTTCTTTAGGTAGACACTGAACAGCCTGAAGCTTGCTGACATGTCGATATTAAAGATGCCTGTCCATTACCAAAGATTTTACTATGTTCTTCACATTTCTAACATGTCAGGAAAAACACTGAAGAGTCATGACTCCTAAAGACTTTGCTCCAACTACCAAATGACACTAGTATTTCAAACCATGTGCTAAATGTAATTTTCAGAATATTTATACTTCAACATAAAATACCCAAGGACACACCAGTATCATCAATATTTACACCTATGAGCATAAAATGTAAAAGATGAGACTGATTACAGATATAACAGCATATAGACTGTTTTTAAAACATTAAAGCACCAAAATACATCCCACTCATATTACAGTTCAACAGTTCTGCCTTCCTAGATGCTATACCTCTGTGGCATCTGATGACTGGTAACATGTCTTCATGAGTTTATCACAGTACCATACCAGTCAGTCTTATAAAAATCCTCATCTAATCACAGGGGACGGGAAAAAAAATAATAATCAAAACCCCAGCAGTTAAGTGCATTTTTTTTCCACTGGACACTACCAGTTAATAACTACCACCAGCACTGCATTCATTGTGCAGACAAATGTCACATACAACATTCAGTATCTTCTGTGAGTATTTTTCTTGTCACCTCTGAAGACCAGATCTTACTTCTGTATTATCTTAAGATGAGCTGATGTACATAAATTAGTGCAGTATTTCAAAGATATTGGCTAGGCTATCATATCTTGGTTCCATTTGTTAATCTTCTGTTATAAACAAATTCATGCTAAGCTAAAAGGATTTAATAGCCTGTATTATAAACTGAGTCACAGTCTGCCAACAGCACAGCATGCTAAAGGAATTTAAACATAAATTTAAATTCTATACAAGGAAAGTAATGAAATAATAAAGTACCTCCTACAGGAGGCTCACTTCAAGGTTTGGGCCAGTATCACCAGCGTGACCCATTCTGTAGTACAGCCATAAAACCTGCTAAATTGACAAAGCTGATTTAAATACATATCCTCAAATGATACTTTATTCCCAGTCATTGGTGCAAGAATCAGTCTGTTCCTTCATTATACTGATACACAGGGGAGGGAGTGAAGAACAGAGACCAGGAGAGTCTGAGGCAAGCTCAATGTGGGCTAGAGGCTGGCTTGTTTTGGTAACTGGGCTTATACATTTTATATCCCTAACTGGGGAACATAAAATCGGTTCTGTTTTGTCTTCACCTTTGTTCAGCCATTCCCATGCCTTGCATCAAGCACACCTAAGCCAGACCACAGAATATGTCATATAGATTTAGATGGGACATAGCTCTTAAGTATGAGACTTGTAACATTACTATATGTCACTTTCCAAAACTGAAGTGTGCTTTACATGTAATGTCTAATTTAGAAGAGAAGTATTTACAGCGGAGTTTTTTCAATGGAGTAGTAATCCACTTTTTAGAACGTAAATCAGAGCAAAAAGCAGGTATAAAGATGTACCACGCCATAAGATGATCTACTTGCATTCCAGCTGACTCAGCACAGGAATCGGTATGCCTCTCTCAAGGGCAGGCTAACTTTATCACTGACTCACAGTTACAAAGCCCGCAATTGGGATTAACTTGTATCAGAAGTGCTAAAGGGAGGAGAGGTTTTGGATAGCAAGCTGAGAAGCCTAATGACAGAAGACAGTGATTCTCAGTCACACTTTGTTCTTGCATTTCAATTCTTTCTATAAGCTTGTAAGTCCTTTTATAAAAGGCATATCATGCTGCCAAACATTTTACTTGGCTGGAAAAGCTTATCTCATCAGCTCTTTAATTCAGACTAAGACGAACAGAAAAAATAACATATTTTAATTATAAACATAAGAAATTACATTTACTACCCTTATCAGCATTTCTAAATTGTATTAAGACCTCACATTATAAAGTAGCGAGTAAAAAGTAGGTATGTTTTACCATGTGCATCATTCAATCACAGTAACCAAAAATAAAAAAAATTCTATGTAGTAGTCCATGCCAACGTAGGTTTAAACCTCTCACATTTCACTATTATTTTCATGTCTTCTTACAACTTTGTGAATGCATTTCACTTGTAATATAAGGATTTTTAAACAACATATAGGAAGCGTCCTAATATTCCAATTAACATGGTTAAGAACTCAGTTTGTAGCAATTTTAAACTTACTTTTCTTTTTTTTTTTTATTTTTTTTCCCTTTTTCAAGTCCCCTGAAGCCACAGATCACCAGCACCCCTTGAAGTGGCACTGCAGTCTGGAACCCCACACCTCAGGCAGGGAAATAAACACGACCATGAAAGCAGCCTAGAGAAGTTCAGGTAAATGCCTCTTTTTTTAATATATGGCTTTGTTTTGTAAAAATTCTGAAAAAGTACTTTCATCATTTCTGATAAAGCTTTTGAAAAAAATATTACCAAAACTGTGCCATATAGTTAAAAAAAAAAACAAAAATGCAAACTCTTACCTGAGCCTTCACAGGCTGGGTCTACATCCCAATGCAGTTCACCACTGGTTGTAATGTCACCAGTACATTCTAAACTGGAACACCACTTAAAGAGGAAACTGGAGATTCATAAATTTGGGGAACCTCAAACAGAAAATAGAAGATAATTTTAAAGTCAGTTATATGCTGAAGGATCTTCCTATAGTTTGGGCAATCAGCACCTGACTTCATCAAAGTATTAATTTGCATGCCACTTCTATTGTTTTGGTTAAAAAATTTTTTTCTCCTTATATCACTGTAGCACCAGCTCCAGTGTGAGAGTCAGACCTGAAGCAGTGAGACCCGTTTTTAAAGTCCTAAGCATGGTACATATAGCGGATCTCAATCAAGACATGAAATACTTGTTTTAATAACTAGGAATCATTGCTTTGCACAGTGAATAAGCTCTCAGTTACGTATTTTGGACTTCAGACACATTTCTACATCTGGGCGTTTACAAAGAATGCAAAGAATGTAGTAATAAAAACTGTGGTCATCCCCTAGTTCTTTGCCAAAAGCTTTAACACAGAATCGAAGGTCCAATTTGTTCCAATTTAAAGACACTGACCATGCAGATTTTTGAAACAACCAAAGTTTAAAAAAAAAAAAAAAAAAAGACCATCAAGTGAATGTGCATCACAGGTTCTGCAATATGTCAGCATGCACACGTATGTATCTTTATTCCACAATAAATGCAGTCTAAATCAAACTATTTTTTCCTCAAAGGTTCATGTTACTTCATATTCTAGTGGCTAAGATTAGGCACACTGACTGCTACAGGAACCGCTGATGCACACTGATCTACAATACTGATTTATTTTTTTCTTTTTTACTTCAAGATCAGCTGGTTCATGTTTCAGTAACTTCTCAAATTGCATTTGATTCATTTAAGTTCTGAAAAAGAGAAGTGACATAGGTAATGGTGATGCATACACGGCATATTAGCACTGAGCAGAGCAGCAATAACAATACATTTAAAAGATTTACTCTCTTTGTAGTTTGCATATATCACATATATGCTGTTTAAATACTGCACAGGATCTAAATGTTATGAAATGCCATAAAAATGTGAGTAAGTCTAAACTAGTCTTTGTTGACTAGTATATCATAAAAAAGACAACCAACTTACCATAATTCCCTAATAAAATAAAGCAGCTGTCACAAAAATCTGAATATGTTCAATGCCTAAGGAAAGGCTTGAAGACAAAATAGATCTGACACACACAGCCTATACTGCTTCTAAAACTCTGCCAAATTTACACAATACCTATGAGAGGTATCCACTAAAACAAAGTCTCTCTGCCATCTGAGGAAGAAGTATCTTTTTCCCCAATGTCAAATCAGCCCACCGTGAATTATTATTCAGTTACCTCACTTTCACATTCAACCACATAAACTTTGGACCACATTTTTCTAAATAGTGAAGGTTAACTATTACAGATACAGCTTGAAAATCCTCATGTAAGTATTACAAGTCCTTAGAGTAGGAGACAGACTAACTACCATACAGTCTAATTTTCTATTAAATCTGTAAAAGCTTTCAGCTCTTGACATCATCTGCTGGTAACTTCTTACATGACTAGAGTATTTTCTCTCCACCCTGTGTCTACAGCTATAATTGAGCTTCTGAGATTGCAAAGATAAGGATAAGAACAACATACAGGTCAGAAGAAATGGCCTTAGTCTCACACTGAATTCCCCCCAAAACTGCAAGTGTAAATTATACAAGTTTTGTCAGAGTAGGGATTGAGAACCTGCAGCCCTGGGCCAGAGGCTATGATGACATTTCACATAGCTGCAAACACATTTTGGGTGGAATTTTTTGTTTGAAAATGTACAACTAGTATGTACTTGAAAACTGAACATCTACCTCAAGATAGTGCATCACCTTGCAGAAAAGAGAAAGAGAAAGAAAAGAGAAAGA